AATAAACAGATTCCGCAACATTGCAGGATGCAAAATCAATACACAAAAATCAGTTCCATTTACAATAGCATCAAAAAGAATAAAATACTTTTGAATACACATAACCAAAGAGGTTTGTATAGGTTTGCTAGGGCTTCCACAACAAACTGCCACAGACTAGGTAGCTTAAACAACAAACATTTCTTTTCTCACAATTCTGGAGGCTTGGAAGGCCAAGATCAAGGCATCAGCAGGTTTGGTTTCTTCTGAGGTCTCTCCTTGGCTCCAGATGGGCATCTTCTTGCTGTGTCCTTTCTTGGCTACCCCTCTGCGTTGTCTGCGACCTAATCTCCTCTCCTTATAAGAACACCAGTCATACTGTACTAGGGACGACTCTAAAAACTTGACTTAGTCTTTTAAAATTCATTCAGTTTGGTACACAGTGAACTCTTTTAATTTGAAGACTTGTATCTTTCTCAGCTTCAGGAAATTTCTTCCATTCTTTTTCTTTTCATCCTCATCCGAGGATATGCTTTATTTGATTTAACAGAAATAGGAAAGGAGGGGGAGAGAAAAAGAAAAGCATCAGTTTGAGAGAGAAACATGGATGGGCTGCCTGACCTGGGATCCAACTGCAACTTAGACATGTGCCCGGACCAGGAACCGCGACCTGGGCAGGTAATAGACCTTTTTACGTCTATTGTAAAATGGGGAGACTAATGCTCACTCTACTTACCAAAGGGTAAAAATTAGTACAACCGCGTTGAAAAGAAAAATGAAATGCATTTCATAGTGCTTCCAGCTCGAGGCAGGTAAAGAAACACAAAGAACGTGGACTTGATGTCATCTGGGTGTAAGACCTTGAGCAAACGATCCCCAGCTACTCTTTCCACCTCACAGTTTATCTGTGATGTTTAAATGAGACATCCCAGTAGAGAGACCTGTTGCACGACAAATGCTAATTGCCCGCCACCAAATCTAAAAGCCGTCTCCCCCGCCCCACTTCCATCCCCATATTTCCTGACCAGTCCCCGAGACTATGGTTTAGTAAGTCTGGAGTGAGGTCCAGAAAGCAATTTTTAAAAAAATAATCTACATTTGTCAAAAGTTACCTAGCAGATTCTAATGCAGGTACCTCCACCAAGGACTCAGCTTGCTACCACGCCTCCCCCCACCTCCCACACCCCGCCTTTTTTTTTTTTTTTGTCAGAAAGCGCCGCTAACTCCAAGTCTCGCGACAGTTTATTCTTTCTTCAGCATCTACTACAGATCTCGCGAGATTTTCATCGTCCAATCGCGAGGCTGAATGGCTGCCCAAGATGGCGGCGCGCTGGGAGCGTAACATCTGCGTTTCTAGGAGCTTCGCGCTGCATATGGTTTGAGACTAGGGGTTAGAGGCCCGCTCCAGATTGGTGGTTCGGCTGGAACTTGGCCCGCAGAGGTAAGTCGCTTATTGTCTTTCACGATGGTGACGAGTTCACTTGGCCCATGGATCACCCAGGTTCCTCATTCTCGGGTGCTGGACTTCGGGGGTCTAGGGAGAGAGACCCGATAGGGGTTGGGATGTGGTGTGGGGGGTGAGGAGTTGACTAATAATAGAATGGAGACCACGACTGAAGTAGGGAAGGCCCCCGGGGCTGAGGAGGTTCAGAGAGATCGGAAACTGAGGCGGGAAGGCAAACCGAATGGCTAAGATGAAGGTGTGGAGCAGTGGGAGAGATGGAGAACGGGCCGTGGCGGGACTTGCAAGGAAAAGTCGGGTTTATGAAGGAAGTCAACGAGGAAAAAGGGAGATGGGGGCTGACGTGGGAGGAATTTGTTAAGAAGGGATTCGAAATTCCGAAAGCGACATTTAGATTGCGTTAAGGTGCGTGGTAGTGAAAGAAGATTATTTAAGGCTCAAGAGAAACCAAGGGAACAGGAGCGTCAGGGTTCGACTGCTTTGGTTTTTTTTACGACCGACTCGGTCAGCCCAAGAAAAAGCCCCAAGCTTAGGACTGAGCCTTCTTTGGGAGTCAAGATGGGCGACTCTTCACCCGAATGAGGTGCTGTGTTTCAGTGAGAAGAGTCACACACCAGGGTTTTCAGTCAGCGAGTACCGAGTGCTTACTCTCCCAGCACCGGATTGCCTAATTTGGTGCTGGGAAATCGCGTGAACAAGACAGACAAAAGATTTTCCCTCATGAAGCTCACTGGCATGGCAGATTTTTTAAAAAAAAGAAAAAAAAAAGTGAAATATGTGGAATGTATGGAATGCCAAATGGGTAAGTTCTATGTAGAAGTTCGAAGCAAGTAAGGGAAACCAGGAGTGCGTTCACTACTGCAATTTTTAAGTAAAGATAGTAGGAAAGGCATCAGTGAGGTGACAGCTGATTCAGAGACCTGAACAAGGCCCCTGTAGCTAAGGGCAGGATGGGCCACGAAGAGGAAAGTAGATTAGGTTAGACTTAGAGAGAAGGAGGTGACCATGCTGATGGCAGGTGAGAGGTGGCACTGAACTAAATTGAGGAACATGGTAGATTTAGCGGAGAACCCATTGCCTGTATGAGGAGCTTGATTCGCAAAGAAGTGGCTTTATTGACTCATTCTGTTCTGACCGAAAAGGTTGAGTAAGGTAGGAAATGAATTGAATCTGCCATATGTGAACGAAAAAGGGTCTATGCAATAAACCTGACAGGCTCATGGGGCCACATGGCAGGCCTGATAAGCTCAGTCACCAAAATAACCACACACCATGGTCTGATCATAATAAATCCCAGTTGGCCAGGTCATAGTGGGTAGTTACATCCCAGGCCTGTAGCTCTCTTTGCAAAGGTCAGTCTTTGTTGCCTGTATGAGGAACTTGATTCGCAAAGTGGCTTTATTGACTCATTCTGTTATGACTGAAAAGGTTGAGTAAGGTAGGAAATGAATTGAATCTGCCATATGTGAACGAAAAAGGGTCTATGCAATAAACCTGACAGGCTCATGGGGCCACATGGCAGGCCTGATAAGCTCAGTCACCAAAATAACCACACACCATGGTCTGATCATAATAAATCCCAGTTGGCCAGGTCATAGTGGGTAGTTACATCCCAGGCCTGTAGCTCTCTTTGCAAAGGTCAGTCTTTATCTTCAGTGAGCCCTGTCCATTGGTCTTACGCATTTAGGATAACATACCTTTAAAATGTCAGAGTGAATGAAGGAAAATGAAAAGGCCAGTATGTCTGGAGCACAGTGATGGAAAGGGGAAGTGGCAACAAATGAGGCTGGAGGGATAGGCAAGGCCTAGATAAGCGGTTCTCAACCTGTGGGTCGAGACCCCCTTGGCGGTCGAACGACCCTTTCACAGGGGTCGCCTAAGGCAATCCTGCATATCAGATATTTACATTACGATTCATAACAGCAACATT